TTTATATGTTTTTTATAATTAGAAGGGTCTACATCTATAGAGGGCACCAAAAATCTGACTTTCATGGCACACCCACTGAAAACCAATGCCAATGTTGTATTTTTGTTTGCTGAGTTTTGGCTTCTCTATTTCTACCATAGTGCCAGGACCCCCAATCTTGTCATCACTATTGTTTAGATACCAAGCCATTATCTCTTCTCTGCAAAATCTTCCCAAGTCACAAATTGTTTTTTCTGATATTACCAGAGAGGCAATGTAATTTGTGGGCAAGTATGTAGCTTCCTGGAAAACTGAGTTATAATTCTGAAGTTTTCATTGGCTAAGATTTGTCACTTTGTAACAGTATAAACCACTAATTTTCCTTTAATTGGTTGCTATACATTGGTATTCATGTATTACTGTTTCATAAATGAATCAGTTATTATCTTCATTTCAGATGCATAGTGCCTTAAAGTATGCTAAAATATGTTATTTGTTCCATAGAAATGACAATATGTAATTAAGTATAATGAACTGAAAAGAGAATCAATGTTATTTTATGAAGAAATAGCCTGCTAGGTATACAGTAGTGGCAAGTATTTACTCTGAATTCCAGGCCGCTTAATCCACTTTTTCAGTTCTCTTCAGAGTCTTTCAGTGTTCTGTGTGCATTTGTGGGTTGTGTGGAATGATTAATATTCTGATGTTTGTAATCATAATGATAATGTTTATGCTGGGCAGCCCATCCATCACTAAATGTCATGCTATTTGTTTTTTTATACATTTTAATTAGGGATATAAGCATATTGGCATTGCGGTCACTAGTTATTATTTTTTCCCTTTTTCATTTGCCAAAATATCATATGTTGATCTTCATGGTATTTGCAAGGTAAATTTACTGCCCTTGGCAAAATGCCAGGAATAGTATAGCTTTATCTGGACAATATGTAGTATAAGGTAGTGGCAAAGTTGGGTAATAAAACCTACATGAAATGATAGAATGATACAAACCAAGACAGTTCTTCTATGGTAATGTGTGTGCAAATGCTTCCCAAGGGTGCTAGGCATATATATTACCATGGGGTTCCAGGGGCAGAGCCCCTTGGCTAGGGAATATGTACCACAGTGTTAGGTTAGGTTGGATGTTGGGTTAGGATGTTTTGTTTAACAACCATGTGGATACTGTTTTACCCCATAATTTCCCTGATATACGTCATGCCCTCCCCTGCTATCGGGACTATCAAATCGAGATTGTCGATGGAGATGGTGATCATATCTCCTCAATGATTCATTTGCATAAGGAACAATACCTAGAATCGTTGAAAGCAGTGGATTTCATGCAGAAAATTATTTTAAATATTTTATTAGCATTGCACATGTATTTTCATATTGCTTTAGACTATATAATTTTCCTCCTTATAACTTCATATGGTGTTCATGTGCATTCAAAATTATTTTTTGTCATTGAATATAAAAACAAAACTGTATCACTTTTTTGTTTACTAAAGGATAAGAAAAGATATCACATAGCAGTTTGTATGTCATATAACTTTATTTTTCATTTGCGTTGGAAGTACATAAATGTCTCTTTTCCATATATTATTTGTCATAATAAAGATGGCTGGTTGAAGCTTAACTGTTACCCTCCAGCCCCACCTGGGAATCCACAAACACTGCTGCATGAACCAATATCTTCCAAACCCAAGGGCTTCCTCCTAAACTGCAATCTGATCACTGTTTTTCCCTGTCGGTATCGACTCTACCCCCAGACCCCCTCTTGACTACCATATGTAATGTGTGTAGCATTTGATGTTACATGTGTTTTTCATTTCTGACTTTATTCTTTGCTTGCTCATTTTATTTCATACAACAATGAGTTTAGCTTTTGCCTTTATGGTTGTGTCATTAGAGATTTCTTATATTAGTTCAGTCATTCTGTTAATGTATATAAAATTATTAGATTTTGCCTAAGCCAAATGTACTATATTTTAAAGGTAAGGTTTTATATATTTTCATTCTATAGAATGATATAATTAACTGTATGAGAGTGAGAAAAGTGAGAGAACTCACATAGTATGGGACTAAATTGCACACAATGTTTACAGTGCAGTTTCAAGTACCCCACTGAGCACATAACTCATTCATGTTATACGTCAACTAGTTAGTTTGTGTATTGATACACACTTGTGAAATAGTTTTGTAATTATCAATTCATACTCCTTGATGTCCCTATCTTTCATATATTCTTTTAACCCTTTCACTGACACACATCTTTTGGATATTCAGAAAAACATTTTCAGCTGTTTTGAATATTTTGTCTTATAGCACATGTGCACATATTTACTTGACTGTTAGGCAATAAATGCATTTTATAATATTCTTTGCAAAAATAATAAATATATATTTTAAGTTAGTTGTACACCTGGCACCAACAAACAAGAGCAGGTAAACCTGACAAGCATCTGACAGCTTCTTTTTAAATTTGTAATTTACTGAAACTGAAGTTAGTGAATTTATGAAAATAAATGATGTTTTCCACATGTTCTGTGTTGTTGGACCTTTTTTGAGAAATGCCTCCTGGTCAATCTCAATAACAGCATGATGCTAGATTGGGGACATCCTGAATGTTGTGGCCCAGAAAATCTATTGATCAGCTGCATTGCTAAATTCATGCTGAACTCTGAGAGTGTTGTTTTCTTTTCTTTTCCTGATACAGGGAAAAGGAATTCAGTACAATCATTAAAAAAAAAAAGTTCAACTTCAGTGATTTTCTCAATCATTCTATGGTGTTCATCATCATATCACTCTTATCAGATTCATATTGCAATTATAATCTGCAGTAAGTTTGGCTTAGTCTGTATACTGTTATGAGTATTTACTTTTCCTTTCTTGACAATTATGTTCTCTTTGGTTGTGAACCTTCATCGCCATAACATAGTTTACATGTAATACTTTTTTTATCCTCATGTGCTTTCATGAAGCTCTCACAGTTCCACAAGCTCCAGTCTTTTTTTCATGCAGGTATTTGAAAAGTAAAGGACTGCTATACCAATTATCGACAAACAATGTCCTCACATTCATCATAGTCTTGTAGCAATGTCTTCATCCCTACCTGTATATATATATATATATATATATATATATATATATATATATATATATATATATATATATATATATATATATATATATATGATTAAATATGTGTATATGTATATATGTGTGTGTATATGTATATGTATATATATATATATATATATATATATATATATATATATATATATATATATATATATATATTATATATTATATTATACATATTATATTATATATAATATATATATATTATTATATATATATATTATTATATATATATATATATTAAGATGAAAATGATAACCAAGCTGTGATGAACATCTGTATTTTGCAAACGTTTCAAAGACGACCGTCTTCATCCTCAGTGCTACAACAAAACAAAAAGAAAAGTAGATGGTACAATAGGGGACGTATGTACAAACTAAAAGACCGGTAAAACACACCATAGACAACTAAACATGTAATTACTGCCACAGGATTACACAATAAATAACTGTGTGGCTGTTGGGTTGTTGTTTAGCTCTAGTTTCATCTTATGAATAAACAGGGATTCCGAGATTATGTGGTCGAGTCTGTTGGCAGATATAGACAGAATTTTGAGAAATCACTGTGAGTGTAGGGGTGGTTTCCCCTGTGTTAATGTTGGCGAATTGCAGAGAATGCTGGTTTGCTCAGAGGTAGGCCTGTTCTTATGGACTTCCCCACATGTTCAAGAATTCTGTGTTTGAACCAATGTGTTCTTGATCCAATTTGTAAAAACTATATTGAATTTTACCTGGGGGAACGAATATTTGAGTAACTCGCGCAATTGTTTCGAACACAATAACTTAATCGTCTGAGATATGGTAATTTGATGTATTTGATTTGCTTTGGAACAGACGTAAGTTTTAAAGGGTGGCAAAACTTATTGTTTAAGAATGACCTCAGAGTTTTATGGAAAATACTGCTTAGGTAGCCATTCGTTTCAAAGTAATTTAATAAGAACTTCATTTCCTTATCAAAAAAGGGACCAGGAAGAGCAAATGTTATATGCTCTGTTAATTAAAGTGGATATGCTATTAACCTTGTACTTCTTTTTCTTTCTTTTTTTTATTGCAAGACCAGATGCAATCAGGTGTAATTAGTTAAAGGGTATGCTTTGATCTGAAGTCTTATTGTTTTTTGCATAATTTAATAGCTCTTATGTCTAGTGTATTTCTTTTATTTGAAATAAAAGGCATTGAATATACAATCCATAGAGTATAGATATTTTGAAACAAAAGCTGGTCCAGCTGCTGATTATGTTATCTCAGTTGAAGATCTGTTGTCAGGAAATAATAGGAGAATTGCTCCACCAAATAAGATGTAAAAAAAATAAAAAGGGTTTCATAATTTATATGAGTTATTTTGAAGAACGTATTTTTGAGAAATCTTCTGAGTCCAGCCATAGTATTGGCTACCCCTTTTGTGTAACAAAGGCTGTGTACCTGTTGATCCATACTTATGAGTGTAGACTTCGTTATTTTGTTCAGTTTATGTTCTATCAACGAGAACACCAAAATGAAGTTTTGAACAATATCCTGTGCCTCTGGGCTAGTACAGTGGTAACGTGTCGGCCTTTCATCCAAGGGGTCGGCGGTTTGCGCCCCACCCAGGCGCGAGAAGTTCCAATTGTCACCTGGAGGTTACTGCTGTGGCTGGGCACCACGGCGGTTAAGGACAAAGCAGAGTCAGCACCAGCTGAAACACATTAGCGAGTCGGCATTAGTCGACTGCCCCTCATGGGCATAGCCCGGGCGAGGCCCAGCTTCGCATATCGGACTTATCCTTATCCTGTCCCTTCAGATATCTTCAAAATTTATCTTTTTTGCTATAAGCTTAGGAAGACTTAAGGGTCGACATCCTGGCACCCACAAGACAGCTAAAATAGGTTTTTGTTTTCCCAGGCTCGCCGTTATGACTCCAAGACCACCATCTTCTCCCCAGAGGGGCGCCTCTACCAGGTGGAGTATGCTATGGAAGCCATTGGGCATGCTGGCACATGCTTGGGCATCCTGGCAAATGATGGTGTGATCTTGGCAGCAGAACGTCGCAACACCAACAAACTCCTGGACGACGTCTTCCTCTCAGACAAGATCTATAAAATTGACGAGTAAGTGAAGGATTTTGTGTCATGTCTTCATGAGATTCTTAATTTTTGGAGATATTAGAGGGCCTTTTATGTGTTTATATAATTTGTGAAGAGTGTATAGCATTGAATTGGTTATTGATTTTTGCTTTTCCAGATGTAAGGATTTCTATTTGATTTGTTTTATAAGATTGTTTGTAGTTTTAGGTATATATGTATATCAACTTTAATAAGGTCTTCACAATATCTTCTTACAGGGATGTAGCCTGTTGTGTAGCTGGTATCACATCAGATGCCAATGTATTAACAAATGAACTGCGTGCTGTTGCCCAGCGTCATACACTTATGTTTGGAGAACCAATTCCCTGTGAACAGTTGGTCATGAGGCTTTGTGATATCAAGCAGGCTTACACACAATATGGAGGTAAGTTGAAAGATTTTAAATCACATCACTAATAAAGATTTGGGCTCATACAATACAAGTGAAATGCATATAGAGATCAAGTTCATTGCACATTACACCTGAAGAGGTAATGAACAGATGGATATCTAAGAAAAATAAGTAAGGGAAATTTATTGATTATGTATGGTGAACTAGTTGTATATCAGTATCAGTATGCAGCGGCATTATTCCCATAAATAAAAAGATGTTTTTCTTGAATAGAGCAGGTTTTCAGTAGTAGCATTGAGTGACTTGAATATATACCATATTTAAGGAGCATGAAAAAATTATAATAATTGAGATAGTTTTGAAGGAGCATTTTGATGGCTTCAAGGAATTTGTGTAAGCCTCCCAATGTGGAAAGACAGTGCATGCTTTGACCATCACTGGTTGACTTAAGGTTATTAAAAGCAGTGTCTTAAAAGAGCATCACCACAGCCTCAAAGACATGACTTAAAATGAGAGTTGTGTACTATCACTTAAATATATTATGCATGCTGACCAAACCAACCTCCAATATTCACATGCCTGTGATATCTGCACAAACAAAATAAACAGAAGTGCATTATTAACATCACCTGTACATAAGTATATTTATAGGTACATATGTACCATATAAGGACAAAAATTTTGTAGGTATACCAGTGTACCTGCAAATATTAGTTAATTCTCTACTTTAGGTACAATCTTTATATTGTAGCCAAAAGACCTGCCAATACAGAAAAAATGGGACATTATGTGGCAACACCTTGTTCTCAGAATACCCAAAATTACTTGATGCACTTTGCTGATAGTAGACTGCATACTTACTAATTTCTACCACCATTATATCATTCAAGAAGTGAAGTAATTTGCCTTTGTATAACTGACTAATAAATGACAACTGATAAGCCTCCTTACAGTGATGCCTCTTGCTCAGAACTGTTTTACTGTTTTCTCAATTAAGAACAGTCTTTCTGTAGTCCACAAAAGATTCAGATTCCCATTCCCTCTCCCTCTCCCTCTCCCTCTCCCTCTCCCTCTCCCTCTCCCTCTCCCTCTCCCTCTCCCTCTCCCTCTCCCTCTCCCTCTCCCTCTCCCTCTCCCTCTCCTCTCCCTCTCCTCTCCCTCTCCCTCTCCTCTCCCTCTCCCTCTCCCTCTCCTCTCCCTCTCCCTCTCCTCTCCCTCTCCCTCTCCCTCTCCCTCTCCCTCTCCTCTCCCTCTCCCTCTCCCTCTCCCTCTCCTCTCCCTCTCCCTCTCCTCTCCCTCTCCCTCTCCCTCTCCTCTCCCTCTCCCTCTCCCTCTCCTCTCCCTCTCCCTCTCCTCTCCCTCTCCCTCTCCTCTCCCTCTCCCTCTCCCTCTCCTCTCCCTCTCCCTCTCCCTCTCCTCTCCCTCTCCCTCTCCCTCTCCTCTCCCTCTCCCTCTCCTCTCCCTCTCCCTCTCCCTCTCCCTCTCCTCTCCCTCTCCCTCTCCCTCTCCTCTCCCTCTCCCTCTCCTCTCCCTCTCCCTCTCCCTCTCCCTCTCCTCTCCCTCTCCCTCTCCTCTCCCTCTCCCTCTCCCTCTCCCTCTCCTCTCCCTCTCCCTCTCCCTCTCCTCTCCCTCTCCCTCTCCACTCCTCACTCCTCACTCCTCACTCCTCACTCCTCCTCTCTATGCCTCATTCCCTCTTTCCCTCTCCCTGTCTCCCCATCTCTTCCTCTCTCCCCATCAGTTCCTCTCTCTCTCCTCCCTCTCTCCCACTCTCCGACTCTTCCTTTTATATGCAATACTATTGAAAATTGTCAAAGGCAGGGGAAGCCATATCTTCTCCGCTTTTTTAAAAAGTGTATACTCATTTGGATTCATAGGTTGGTTGGATTTGGTATAGTTTTCTGATTTGATAAAGTGTAGCAAGGACAATCTTGTATATATATGATGCAGTTGGTATAGATGAATTATTAAGTCTTCAAAAAACAATATAAGGATAATGATTATAATCTTTATATAATGATGATGGTAGTGGCATTGAGGCAAGTTTTTGTTATTATCTGTGCTATTACTACTTCTGTTACTAATGCCTTTGCCCCTAAATCTATAGTTTTATGGTATTGTAAAGTCATTGAGATTACCACACCAAGAAATTTTAATGGAATTAATTTTCATATTTATTTGTATTTTGATTGTAAACAACTTCCTGTGTAGCGATTATTACTTATGTTTATAGTGACTTTGGGTTTTTACACATACTTACTCGCTTATTTAATTTTTCTGCAGGAAAGCGACCATTTGGTGTGTCCATCTTGTACATGGGTTGGGACACACGTTATGGATACCAGCTATACCAGAGTGACCCCTCTGGTAACTACTCTGGCTGGAAGGCAACTTGCATTGGAAACAGCAGTGCGGTAGGATTTATGCTATTTTTCTCCGTACCTCTAGTGATTCATGGTTTGGGTTTGGTTAGTGGGGAATGAGTTTATAGTTTGATATGGGTTGGTTTGAAATAAATTTGATTTTTCATTGGGATTTGTTAGTTTGTTTTCACATGTTTTGCACTGAAATTTTTTAGTATCTTTAACCCAATGGTGCTGGGTAATCATACTGTCTACAGTAGTTTTCCTATGTGAATTTTGTTTGCACGTAGGTGGCTCCATAAGTGTCAAGCCACCAAGGAGCCAATATGTGTCAATGTATAAATACAATCAAGAAACAAAAAGACATAGTAGATCTGGCATGTATTCTTGCCCTCCCAGCACCTGTCGTAAAGAATATAACTAATGATTTTGCATTCCTTTACTATCCTGGCCACTTTACTGTTGCAGGCAGCAGTATCTATCCTGAAGCAGGAATACAAAGTGGGAGAGACAGACCTGCATGAGGCACTTCTCCTGGCCCTGAAGGTCATGAGCAAGACCCTTGACATGACTAAGCTGAACGCCGAGAAGCTGGAGCTGGCTACGCTGGTGAGGAAGGACGACAAGACAGTGATCACAGTGTTGCCAGTTGAGGAGGTGACCAAGCTTATCAAGGAACATGAGGTGCGGGAGGCTGATGCTGAGGCAGCCAAGCAAGAAGGCACCAGCAAGAAGTCCGACTCGTGAAGGACAAGAGACTCATCTAGTCCTAAGGTCTAAGCAAAGCGAGTGACGAAGGAGTGGAGGGATTCTGTTTGTGGTGGAGAAGTGTCTTTAAATGACTTAAAACTCGTATTTAAAGGAAATATTTTCACATAGTTGAGTAATGGTATTATTCATTTTAATTTCATTTGATACTTATGTGTCAGTTTGTTGTTATTTTTTTTATATTAAGACCACATAATAAAACAAACTGAAGCAATTTTGTATTTATTTTTTCCTATAGTTATAGAAGTTCAGAATTTTTAACATTTAATGTATAATATTTGTATGATTATGTTGATTTCTTGAATAAAAATGCAAAACCATACATTAAAGAGGAGCATCAATACCATATCCATTTTATATGCATATGTAAAATGGTTATATGATGAGTCAGTTTTTCTCTCTAAAGAGTGGGGCTGTGAGAATATTTCTTCAGAACAGATTAAAAGGTTGTCAATATTTTATGCTTTTTATACATTTATGATTTTATAAAAATTATCTGGCAATAGTGGAGGGAGCAAGCCTGATTTCAGACCCAAAATTTTTTTCATTGAAAAGACCTTGCCCCTTGACAACATTCAGCTGAACTTACTTATTCAGCTGAAAGGTGGATCAAGCCCTGTTTGAGCAAATACTGTGCTGTGTTTGCCATTTATTGAGTTATCCCCTATTTAGACAAACTTTGGAGTCTCAAAACAGGAATATTTTAAGAATCTAACATTTGATTGATCCCTTGCCGACAGGCATTGCATGTACGTACATGCCATGCCCATTGTGAGTTTACTGGTTTAATTGTTTTTACACAGAGATGGCTACACTTGTACTAAATCACCAATGAGCCAGTTACGAGTACTGCCTGTCTCGCCCGTTCACCCTTTTCATTAATTTACGAAAATATTTTACGTTATCTTATTTTGCTGTTACAAATGTTTATGACATTTTAGTAATTATAATGTTTATAATAAAAATAACACCATCTATGTTTATAGCACCAGTAAAAATATGTTTTTTGCGCCAATTCAAGGAAAGGTGAAATCCTTTATGGCTAAGCACTAGCAGAGCCATCTAGTAACAGAGACATTTTACAAAAAATATTAAAAATGAGCATAGAATTTCCCCCATCTATTATTCATTTTTCCTGTCGGGAAAGGGTTAAAACATGGTGGCAGGGTAAAATGTCAGTGTTTCAAGTAATCATAACTTTTAGTAGAGAGAACTCAGATTTACATAATATTGCAAGGAGAGCCACAGACATCCTTGGTGGATCTTAATCTGATTCATACTGAATAATAATCATTATGTTGAGTGCACAATACCATTACTTTATTAACCTTAACTTGACAAGGCAGATAATTTCAGATAATTTAATCTCAAATGAAATGATGATGGATGCAATGGCAGAGAATATCATGGTCATTCTGGCTGTTATCTATAATCCTATAAATTTATATATCCATACCACCGTTAATCTTAGTCTTAGAAGCAGAATGTTTGAAAATCAGTAATAACTTTTTCATGTTTGATAGTAGTTGTGGGTATTTCTGGGATTATTATTTATAAGGTGAATGGTAATGGCCAGAAAAAACATTTATTTAGCCAACATCTGTTCTTCAGAATTGCCTTTTCTCAGAGCTACTTAACTTTTCGGACAAGTCTTGTTTTATGGATGTGACTTTGGACATAGATGCAGTAGAAGAGGCTTGAGATGCAGTAGAGCAGATTCAGAATGAGCGAGAAAATGTGGCTGGTCCAGCAGTGGGCAGGAAAGCTAGTGATGCCTATGGTTCGGTCAGGCTTACAAATGAAAAAGGAAAGGATTTGACATATATGAAGAATGAATGAATGAGAGGGAAAAGAATGAATGAGATACCCCCTCCCAATCCCTTGCTCATTGTTGCCGTGGGGGGGGGGGTGTCTTAGGAGGCAGAGACAGAGGCCCAGCGTAAGGGATCACTCCTACTTCAGTCCTCATCCCTCGCCTCAACGAATTTTCCAAGGTCTTTCCTTCTTCTAATTTCCTTTTTCCTTCTCTTCTTCGTCCCTTCTTATGTTCACTTATCCTAATCGTTAACTAATTTTTACCGTTTTCACCTCAATACTTCGCCATAGTACTGTGTGACCTCTGTCTGGCACATTTGTTTGTTTTGACCATGATCATTCTGGAATTCCTCAAACAACCCCTTGTGAACCCCCAAAAATCTCGAGCCGGGGGCTTTACCTCAAGCTATTGCTGCTTTTAATACACTGCTAATGACCACAGATGTTAACGCGCAGAAAAAAAAATAAACAAAATTATAAATAATGAGAGGCAGAAGAAAAAAATAAAAAAATAAAATAGAGATACCATATAAACGGGGGAAGAGTGAACAAATTAATGAATGAAAGAAAGATAGAAACAAGGAAAATGATACATGGCAAAAGAGGAAGATAAAGAATACTGTAAAAAGTTGCTTAGGAGAGGCGGTTGAAATCTGCCTTGGGAGATATTTTTTACACGGCGCAGTCAATGCCGTCATGGCTGCTGATCATATAAATTTAATTTTTTGATTTAAGGTCATCATGTATCAAAGAGTAAATTCTGACAAAAAAGAAAAGGAAAAAAATAAAGGGCAGCGTAATAACAACATACGCAGCATTTTCTCATTTGCATCAACTCTGCCACGTACTTCCAAAGGAAATCTTTCCTTCTGTATTTTTAGAGTTGCGGAGGGAACTTATTTATCATCATAATTATTTCATGAATTAGTCGCACATGGTCACGAATGAACTTAAATATGTGAGGTTTATAATATTGAACTATGTTGAGGGGATATACGAAAAAACATGTATTTCTTAAATTTTCCGGGTGGGTTAAGGAAGTCTGAGGCTACGAATCCTCCAAATTTACTCAACTCGGGCCGGTATTTCACGAAAAGGCATAATTTTTTTTTTGACAAATTAACTGAAGGGCTGTCCTAAAACAATGATTTCAAGTGGAATTAGGATCGAGTCGCACTAGGGATATAAGCTGCAAACTGTCCTTAGTAATTTCGTCTATGACTTGCACTGTTGCCACATTCAAAGTTGTAGCTATCAACTAAAACTATCTCTTTACTATAATAGACCCGAGGTGCTAGTCCAATGTAATAATATCATATATCTAACATTGCAACGATTCTCACCAACGATTATAATATTAAACATCTAATATATTTCATATGTACACATGGCACCCTCTATATTTGTTGACATTACATCAACGATGAAAGCGAACAGCATCTTTTGTATTTATCCAATATAACACTGCAGTCAACATGCAGGGTCAGTTAACATGTGAGACATCATAAGGGGTCCGCAATTTTTCTTATAATTACCGATTTAGTTATCTTTAGTCAATGTAAAACCGAATTATTGATGTCTTTGTAACCTAGGAACAAGTTAAAGATAGACCTTAGCATTCACCCAAGCCCAAGGGAGCTCCACTTCTATTTAGGCTGCTGAATCCAAAAACAAAATTGACTTTTTCCCAAGAGCATCCTGACGGTTGCTTATGGGAAGGAACTCTTCGTTATCATAAATAATGGAGGGGAAATTTCTTTTATTGCTTATAATTATAACACTATCAAGTAAACATTACAAACAATTATGGATCTGGCTATATCTTAAAGTGCACTCTCACTGGCTAAACGTGATGGCGTTAATAGTTCCGCCCCTTTATTTGACACGGTCAGTTTGTGTGACATTTTATTATAAATGTTTTTCATTGCATTTTCTTTAAAAATTGTTCACTAATAACAATGGCAGAAGAATAAACAAACACGAAACCAAGAAAACTAAGAAATAAAATATTTTTTTAAGATTTGCAATGAATAAAGGCAAAAAAGATAGCTGTTCAGTTTGGAAGTTGCCAATAAGGATTTTCATTAAGACGGAGTGGGGATACCTGTCTCAAACTGCCTTGCTCAAGCCATAGGCAAACAAAATGCTTTTCATGAATTGTAGACAAAACAGTGGAGGCAAAGATATTTTCTTGTCATAGACAAATCCAATAATCTATGATTTTTTTGTGAATACTACTCCTGGTTGGGGAAGTTAACTGAAATAATCTAATTCGTATGCAGACACAACCAATTACTGTAGAAAATTAAAACAGCAATTATATTGGAAATGCATCCCAATGAAATTTCGCATTTCTTGTGCATGCTACCCTCTCCCGAACTTCTCACTTTTCAAAGAACCGAAAAGCCCTTATTTTCAGAAGATTAGGCGTCATTACTCCTTCCCTCTGTGAGACACCACAGATCAAGGGAATTGCCTTAGGAAACTGAGATGACGAGCAACTTCCAATATCTATGATTGAAGGAACATCCCCTTAACTGGAACTACCTTGTTGTGCAGGGACATGAACTGCCCCTAACTAGATCAACCTTGGGATGGTCCTCTTTTTTCCTGCTATGGTCGTAATCCTGAGGGGTGGATGCTAGACTGATAGCGTGTATACTGTGAAGATTCGGAGTCTTAGAAGCTGCATGGTACTACGTGTAATTATGTCTTGAAGCATACTTATTCTAGCAAGGTGGTTGACCTAATCCTGGCATTGTCAGATTAATTGATCTTTCTCCTTGAGTAGGCTAGGAGCAAAATGTCACTGCCTAGTTGGATGAGGCCTCCTTGAGTTTCCTACAGGGAGGTAGACTAATGGAAAGAAAGTAGACATATCAGCTCTGATTCCTAAAGACAGGATGTTTTTGGTTGGTGTTGGTTCTGAAGTTTTGTATGATTTAGATGTGGTCACATCTCATCCCTTGGTCCTGAGATCTTTCCACCTGACAAAGGGAAGATCCCAGTCTGTAGTCTAAAAGGAACCCAAACTAATTCCCAACTGCAGCAAAATTAGCAATTGTGTTTCTGTTTAGAGGACTTATGTCTTCCATTTTCTATATATTTGCAGCACTAGGTCAGTTTTACCCTTTTAATATATTTGCCCATTTTTCAACATTTTGATTAACTGTTATGGCAAGGTTTTCCTAAACGCATTTACCCACATTACCAATGTCATCACCTGAGACCTCCTGGCAATTCATGACCTTGAAACCCACAATGTTCAATTGGTGTATGTTTCTATCTCTGTCGAAATGCTACTTATATAAAATGTGGTAAGTTCTTGAAAACATATGCGCCTCACAAACGTATATCCAAGTCTGAACCTTTACAAAGAGGTCTGACGGCCTTTCTTAC